ACGGAGGCCAGGCCAAGTCCGCAGTTTGAGTATGATCTGGTTATACAAAAGTTCGATGAGCACTTTGTCCCAAAGAGAAACGTTATCCACGACCGTGCCTGTTTTCACAAACGGAGCCAGAGGGCCGGGGAGACTGTCGAGGCTTTCGTGCGGAGCCTGTACGAGCTCGCACAGCACTGCGAGTTCGGCGGCAGTAAAGACGAGCAGATCCGGGATCGTATCGTCATTGGATTAATTGACAAAGATGTTTCACAAAAACTCCAGCTCGAGGCGGACTTAACTTTGGATAGAGCCATTCAACTAGCACGCCAGAGTGAACAAGTCAGACAGCAAAGTGCAGACCGAGTGGAAAGCACGGTGAATGAGGTGAAACAGAGGCATTATAACAGCATGAGAAGGAGTTACTGCCAACCTCATCAGGTACATGAGCAACAACATGGTAAGAGTAAACCAAAATGCCAAAGATGCAACAAGGTGCATGACAAAAGACAAAACTGCCCAGCCCGCAATAAAAGATGCAGAAAGTGCAATAAGTTGGGACACTTTGAAGTTGTATGCAAAACCAAAATGCTAAAAGAGGTCAGGGCTGAGGCTGTAGAGGACTCAGATGAGGATTCATTCTTCATAGGGGAGCTTTTCCTGGGAGCAGTAATTGAGCCAAAAACAACAGTCATTGAGGAGTCAGGCTCAGATGCCGACTGGGACATTGAGCTATTGGTAAATGGCAGTCCAGTTGATTTCAAAATTGATACAGGCGCAGACACCACTGTTATGATAGAAACGACCCTTAATAAGCTACAGCAGAGACCCAAACTTATCCAGTGTAAGCCAACTGTGTACAGCCCTGGTGGAAAAGTCAAGTGCATGGGTAAATTCCTTGCTACTACAGAGTACAAAGGCCAAAAGTACCAGTACTGGATTACAGTTATAAAAGGGCAATATGCAAGTAACCTACTGGGGAAGACAGTGGCAAAGCGCATGGGATTATTCACTAGAGTTAACAAAATCAGTAGTGACTTAACAGAGGATGTGTTCGGAGAAATTGGCCTGCTGAATTGTGAACCTGTAAAAATCGAGCTGACCGAAGATGCAGTGCCGTACAGTGTAACCACCCCACGCCGGGTGCCTTTTCCTCTCCTCCCAAAAGTGGAAAAGGAAATAAAGCGCATGCTCAAACTTGGCATCATTGAGGAAGTCACCGAGCCAACAGACTGGTGGGCACCAATGGTGCCTGCTCCAAAGCGCAACAAGGATGAGGTCAGGGTGTGTGTGGACTTAAAACGTCTGAATAAGGGAGTAAAGCGTGAACGGTACATCTTGCCCACATTGGATGACATAACTCCTAAGTTAGCAGGGGCTAAAGTTTTCTCCACTTTGGATGCCTCCAGTGGGTTCTGGCAAATACCACTGGATCCCAGCTGCCAAAAACTAACCACGTTCATAAATCCCATGGGCAGGTTTTGCTTCAGACGCCTGCCATTTGGCATAACTTCAGCACCCGAGATCTTCCAGCGGCTCATGAGCACCTTGCTCAAGGGCCTAGAGGGGACTGTCGTCGTGATGGACGACATATTGGTTTTCGGGGCTAACAAAGAGGAACATGACCAACGCTTAGGTGCAGTATTACAGACAATCAAAGCATCAGGACTTAAGCTCAACAGGTCCAAGTGCCACTTTGGAAAGAATGAACTACAGTTCTTCGGTCACATCATCAGTGCGGATGGTGTGAAACCTGATGATGGCAAGGTGGAGGCTATTGCCAGGATGCCCAGCCCCACCAATGTAGAACAACTCAGGCAGGTACTCGGATTAATAAACTATGTTGGAAAATTCCTGCCAGGCCTGTCCACGGTGCTGCACCCCCTCTCCAATCTACTCAAAAAAGAGACTGTATGGGTGTGGGGCGAGCCTCAGGAGCGAGCATTCAACAAAGCAAAAGCAATGCTCTTGGCTGCACCAGCACTTTGTTATTATGATGCAGGCCGACCAACAGTTGTCAGTGCGGATGCCAGCAGCTATGGCCTGGGTGCTGCACTGTTACAGGACAATGACGGGGAGTTACGGCCTGTTGCCTTTTGTTCTCGCACGCTCACAGACGCAGAGAAAAGATATTCGCAGATCGAAAAAGAGTGTTTAGCATCTGTCTGGGCCTGCGAATGTTTTACCCGCTACATCCAAGGCATGGGTCATGTACATCTACAAACTGACCATAAGCCCTTGGTGCCTTTGATCAACTCATACGACCTTGATAAAACGCCACTGAGATGTCAGAGATTGCTGATGCGACTGATGCGATTCAATGTCACTGCTGAGCATGTTCCCGGTAAACAGTTAGTGGTGGCGGACGCACTCTCCAGACATCCACTGCATGGATGCTACCCGTCCGAGACAGACAGCCAGGTCAAGGCATATGTGAGCAACGTAGTGACAAGCAAACCTATCAAGTCACATAAGTTGGAGGAAATTCGTAGAGCAACACAGAGGGATCCAGAACTTCAAAAAGCAATCATCTTCACCAGACAAGGGTGGCCTCGGAGAATGGCAAAGAGCTCACCACTGCAAGGCTTTTATGCAGCTAGAAGCCACCTTTCAGAATCAGATGGTCTAGTGCTCTACCACGATCGCATCGTAATTCCCACAGCACTCAGACCCAGTGTCCTTGACCAATTACATGAAGGCCACCAAGGACTAACTAAATGTAGAGAGCGCGCAAGATCAACAGTGTGGTGGCCCAACATTGGACTTCAAATAACACATAAGGTGAGGTCATGCAACTTTTGCAGAGAGCACAAGCCTACACAGCGACGGGAACCTCTCGTGACTACTCCTCTGCCCAATGGCCCCTGGCAAAAGATTGCAGCTGATCTTTGCGAGCTTGAGGGTAAGAACTTTCTTGTCGTTGTTGACTATTTTTCAAGAGACATTGAGATTGCTTCCCTCACTACAACAACCAGCAGACAGGTCATTAACAAGCTTAAACACATGTTCGTTAGATGGGGCATCCCGTTAGAACTGGTCAGTGATAATGGGACGCAGTTCACATCATCAGAGTTTCAAGACTTCAAACTGAGTTATGGCTTCACCCACACTACGTCGAGCCCTCATTACCCCCAGTCAAATGGAGCTGCTGAAAGAGCTGTCCAAACGGCCAAGTACATTCTCAAATAGCCTGACCCCTGCTTAGCCTTAATGAGTTACCGCTCTACACCAATTGCAGCAACCGGTGCAAGCCCAGCTCAACTTATGACAGGACGTCAAATCCGCACCACCGTCCCAGTACTCGAAAAGACATTGCTGCCCAGTCCAGTCAATAGGGACACAGTGTGCCAAAGAGATGCTGCAGCTAAGGACTCTTACAGATTCTTCTACAACCGCAGACATTCAGCTCGTCCACTTCCTGAGCTTCTCCCAGGCCAGGATGTTGTAGTGAAGCTTGACGGGGAAAAGGGGTGGACGACTCCAGCCAAGGTCATCAGTAAGTCTAAGGAGCCGAGATCCTACTTGGTGGAGATGGCGAATGGGAACGTGACTCGCCGCAACAGACGACACCTTCAGCCTGTCCCAGGCACCGCTGATCCTGAGGAGCAGCAGCAGAGCACTGTTCCAGCTACGCCGACTACTCCAACTAAAGGGGCGGCCGCTTCCCAAGAACCACCAGTAAGGCAGACATCGCCAATCCCTGTCCCGGGGTCTCCTCTCCGCCCTACCACACCTGTGAGAGTGACTTCCAGGGGGCGGGAAATTAAAGTACCTCTCAGATTCAGAGACTCAGGACTATCTCCTTTCTATGTTCTAAGGGCAGAATAATCCCTTATCAGGACTGAGGGTAGTCTATCCCCGTGATGTCCTGCGTTCTGACAACACTGTTTTATGTTTAAAGTACTTTTGTTAAAGGGGGAGATGTTGTGAAATCTGTTTATGTTGTCCTAGTAAGGCTACCATGAGGGCAGCCACTAGAGGTCGCTAGGAGACCGGTGTGTATATGTGTTTTCCAGAAATTGATGTAGCGACGTACACTGCTGCTACAAGCCAATAAAAGTGGTTCGTGCTTGAGAACCCTGCGTCTTATTGCCTCCGAACATGACACGTGTTAACCTCTTTGATATGTCAATGGCTGTGAACAAGGAGAAACTTGTAAAAAACTCATGAAAGAATAAAGCTACGTTGAAACCAAGCACACCATTGTTTTTCTTGTGACATTACCAATAAGTTTGATGTGTCACATGGCCCTCTTCCTATTGAAAAAACAAAAGTTGTATCCAAGATGGCCGACTTCTAAATGGCCACCATGGTCACCACCCATCTTCAGGAGTTTGCCCCCTCACATATATTAATGTGCCACAAACAGGACTTTAATATCACCAACCATTCCCATTTTATTACGGTGTATCCATATAAATGGCCCACCCTGTAGATCAAGTGTCACAGCCTGGGTCAGTGGAAGGACAGATCAGGAGGCCACACATGATATTTTTTTTTTCAAAAGTTAAACATAGTAAAGCTAAAATAACCATAAAGATCGATGAATTCAGTAGTGTATGTAGTGTCTGACTCTCTCCAGGCTCCCCAAATGAGGAAGCACCGAGAGACCTCACAGTGTCACACAAGCTAGTCAGTAATTTATAAGTAATTTATTCATCAGCACCTGCGATGATCAAATAATGTTTGTGATGCTGAAAAGTAGCATTCTGCATAATGTGCATGTGTACTTACTCAGTACAGCTGATGCATTATTAAGCTATTTAAGCAGGGTTACTGTATAACTTTTTACTGAGTAAAAGACTTCATTTTAATGTTTTTCCCAATTTAAAATGAAATTATGCAAAGATAAACTCCTGTGTAGCAGTGAGCTGTAAAAGTCATCCCCCCCCAACGAAAAGGGAAAAGAAGGGGTAAAGGGAAAAAAGGAAAAAGAGGGAAAAAGGGAAATCAGGTTCTGCCATCAGTTATTTTCCACCACTTGGAGGAACCTGTGTATGTGTACAAAGCGAGAGAGGGAGAGCGAGCGAGAGCGGGTGGGCGGGCTCTGGCGCAGCTCCATCCCACCTCGAAAATACCAACCAGGTGCTGCAGCTTCTTCCTCCTCTGCTGCCCGCTGGCCTCCCACATGCTTGTGGACGTGAGTCGCTTCAACGCTGCTTTGACGGAAGCCTGCGGCAGTGAGCAGCTGCTATGTGCTTCCACTGATTGACACACCGCCGTGGTGGATTCCGCTCGGACGGACGGACAACAGGCAGCCCGGTGCAGCAGCAGCTTCTCGTTCTTAGCCGGGGAGCTTTTCCAGCATTCCTGTCCGGGAATTCTGAACTCACCGCGGCTCCAGATGGCCGGACACGGCTGGGAAGACTGGTTCGAGAGGGAAGAATTTATCGGACAAATCAGCGATATCCGAGTGCAGAACCTGCAAGGTAGGAACATCTCCGCTACTGTAGTTTGAGTCCACAGAACAGTGCGGATGGCCTGGCCACGCATGCACCAGCAGAGTGCACAGTGCCCAGGAACTCAGTTGCGTAGAAGATCGTTTTATTCTGATGTGGGGAACTTTTCTTTTGTTGTATTTGGCTGCTTTCACTTGCAGCACGAAGGTTCCAAACTTTCCAAACGGAGCTCACAAACGCTTTGTTCCACACTGTGCGCCCAGGAGCCTCACAGACTCAGTGACCCGGTGATCTGCTGTGTGGAGGCTTTTATTTACTGAAGTGCACTTTCAGTGTACTCGACGTATGCGGTCCCTGATAGGTATACTCTTTTCAAGACTAGTACACTAAAGATTATTTTAAAAAGGGAATGATCATAGAGCTGCAGTAATTAGTTATTCTATTGTTGGTCTACTTATTTGAATTATTTGTCTATTATTTGAATCCAACATAGAATCTCTCTCTCTCTCTCTCTCTCTCTCTCTCTCTCTCTCTCTCTCTCTCTCTCTCTCTGTGTGTGTTCATTTTCTAAAACCATCCAATCCCAGTAGTTGATTAGACCAGGTTCACTTCCAGAGAAAAAATAACTTCCACTAAATCAGAGTGCACTAGTGTGGACACTTGTATGTCATCACTGGGTAAAGTACTGCTGTTGCTGTCTGAATGACTTTTGTATTGGCCTATAATGCTCCTGCAGAAATGTGGGGAGGCATCCGGATATGAACCTGCAGCTCAGGTTGAGGCGTCCTGACTTCCTCAGTATGTATTAGAGCCAGCTTTTCAAGCAAACATCTATGTGTTCTTGTCTAATAAGTTATAACGCTTCTTTAATTGGAGTGTGCTTAAAAGCCAGTATTAAAATGTGAGTTGTCTTAAGATTGTTTTTCATGTCACACATAAAGCAAAAAAAGTAACATAACAGTTTTCATAATTTCCCTAAATACTCCTCAGAGAAAGCAATCTTGTGGTTTTTATTATAAGAAGGGGGGCATGAATGTGTGAGCTAACATGTTGTGGATTGATTCTTACAGACAGCTCTTCTGCATGTGTAGGTGCATTACATTCTATTTTTCACTCCTGTGGGTGTAAGAATGGCTCTCTCTGCCTCTTCTCCAGAAGCAGAGCACATGTGAAAAAGCAAAGCCTGCTGTGGATTTTAAATAATTTAACACCACTGTTGAACAGTGAAAACATCTTTAGATGTTTAATTCCACTGCAGTCACTGAAAATCTCTTATTTAGCTGCCAATCAACCTGAATAAGAGCCAAACATGTTAAATGAAACCAGGTTATGCAACATGATCAGAAAAGTGTGTTTTGTTATTTTGACACACACATCTATGTTCGGTCATTCTCAACCACCTGCGGCGTTTCCCATTTTGACCTCGGGACTTCCAGACCATACTCTGTATGGATGTTCCTGTACACTATGCCGGCCACTTGGTTAATGTGTTCCATGTATGCCTTGCCTGCTAGCATCTTGCACCCTGCTGTTATGTGCTGGATTGTCTCTGGGGCATCTTTACACAGCCTGCACCTGGGCCTTACCTGGTGTTGTAGACCCCAGCCTCTATTGATCTTGTACTTGGAGCTTGTTCTTGTGCTGCTATGATTTGTGCCTAGGTCTTTCAGTTCAGGTTTGTTCAGCCACTGGTAGGATTTCTGGATATCAGCCACTTCCTCTATCTGCCGGTAGTACATACCGTTCAGGGGCCTGTTCCTCCTCTTCTTTCTCTGGTTTCTGCTGCCTGGGGTATTTACTCAGGTATACTCAGGTTTTTGTAAGGAAAGAAAACAGACACAGAATATTATTGCACAGCATACTAGCAAATCCACCAAGAAATCATGAAAGAAAAAGAAAATGAAGGCACAGGTATGAATCTTACTGGAATGTTGTGAGAGGATTCAAAATGATTTAATCATGTGCATCATGGTTTGGTACAATCTAGACTCAAAGCGACGGAGGGAGTGTAGTCATGTGTCCGGCTCATAAACCCAAGCCCTGCTGTCTCTACGGGAGCATGTGCTCTAATGAGAAGCCCGCACATTCTCAGCCATTCATTCCTATATGGTTTTAAACAAAGCTTTTCCCATGAACATGGACATGTCAATTCCACCTTCTTAAAATGCGCCAGTTTCACGCTTTTGTCCCTCTTCTCTGCACGAAAGCTCGATGAGCAGCTATCACTTTAAAACAATGGCCTGGAGGTTGTTACATAACACAAAATGAGAGGGAGAACGAGAGAGAGCAGCTCTCTGTGCATAACAATATTGAACGTTCCCACACATCCCACACAGCTTTCTGTCCTACCTCACTGGGATGTAGGTTTCTTTCTGAGTACAGTTAACATTGCTGGTTTGCATTCAAGTAACACATTACTAAAGAATTACTTTCTGCTAGTTTATACCATAAACACGGGATGATTCTAAACTTGATTATGATGTGCTGAATCCTTGTGAAAAATTCATTTGCTATGAGTGTGATTTCATTTAAATGTACAGGACTGTCTACAGAGCTGTATTCACATTCCTTTACATTTATCCCACGATGACCAGAGTTTATTTTTCAGGTTGTTTCCACTCATATCATGGGTCAGAACACTTCTAATCTTTGCACAGTTGTCACAGGTGTTCCTTTTTGATAACAGCACGAGTCCCACTATATGTTCTCTATTTGACCCTTTCCTTCAAACACATGCTGAACTATATCCTCATGGCTTTTTCTGTGGTCTGCTTGATGTCAGGAAATTATTTTGGGGGAAAAGTAAGTATCAATCTCTGTCAAAGAAAGTTGGCAAGTCTAAGAAAGCATAAAGGATGAGTTCTCGAAAATGTATTTGATTGCTGTCTCCTGATGCTCTAGACTAGCCTCAGTTACTCCTTCTGAAGTTCTTGAGTAGAGTTTTGGTGACACTTCTCTCAGAGCTGTGGTCATCACTGTTGCTTCTGCACTTTTTCCCTGATAGATTTTTTTCCTTCCAGTCAACTTTACTTAAATATGCTTTGATAAAGCATTCTGTAAACAGCAATGACCTTCTTTTGGCTTTCCTTGTTCATGGAAGGTGCCGATAGTCGTCATCATCTGGACAACTGTCAACTTTGCAGCCTTCCCCATTATTGCCATCATCTGTACTGAGGTAGAGAGAGGTGCACAGTATTTATACAGTTTAAACAGAAATGTACTGGAACTTAATAAACGTGGATAATAATAATAATAATAATAACAATAATTAATATTAATAAAAATAATGAAGAAAAATAAAGAATAGTGGTTTTGTGATTTTCATGAGAGATAGATATAATCTATTAATATAAGATATAATCACAAAAGTTAAACAAAGATATATTACATAAGAAATGTTGGTATATTGCTATTCATGTGTAATGAATATTAAACGTACATCAGAACTCAATTTTTTTTAATTAAATGGTGGAAAAAACGAATATTGAACAATACTCAGATTTCTAAATGCATCATTGTATTTCTTATTGAGGCGTACCATTTTAATGTGTCCCAAGACATTATAGACCAGGGGTGAGAACTCCAGGCCTCGAGGGCCGGTGTCCTGCAGGTTTTAGATATCACCGTGAGTCCACACACCTGAATCACATGATTAGTTCATTAGCAGGCCTCTGGAGAACTTCAAGACATGTTGAGGAGGTCATTTAGCCATTTGAATCAGCTGTGTTGGATCAAGGACACATCTAAAACCTGCAGGACACCGGCCCTCGAGGCCTGGAGTTCCCCACCCCCCCTATAGACCCTCATATTGTCTGTGTACTCAGGTCCATGGGATCCTGTACTGATCCTCGTTGTTTTCAAGAGAACTGACTGGTCAGTAGGCTGTGATTTTTATACACGAAATGATTATACCCAAGCATAGCCTACAAGCGTAAGCAGATTGGGTGTGCAATAAAAGATATTATAATGTACCACAGTCGGAAAGCAACCCTGTTCATAACACTGAGAGTTAAACATGAAATTACCATGATAACCACCAATGTTGATTCATAGTACAGGCCTGTGATCTGTGCATTACTATTTACAGTCAGACTAGAACTGCATATAAATTTAAATGTTTTCTTTTGTCTGATAGTGTTTGACTTTGGACAGTTTAAACGTTTGTCTTTTGCTCTGCAGGAAACCAAAACCTGGTTTACCTCAAAGTCACATAATACTACTCAGACTACTAACAGCAACCAGAGAGCTTCCAGTACCGGCAGCTTTTCCTTCAGTGAGTCTGCATGCTCAGAATCAATTTAACATGGTTACACACTTTTAAAATCTAATCTGGGTTTGCACATGCTTTGGTAACCCTGAAAAAAACAAAACAAACAAACAACAACAACAACCAAGCAAACGTGGGGTTCACCCACGCCAGACGTGCTGCTGCGCAGCCCTCCAAGATCCTGACTGTGCGTCACTGGAAGTGGACGAAGTGTGCGACTGCTGATGTTTATTGCTTGACAAGTGGGTCAGAATGCAGCAGGAAGCAATAACAGAGTTCACTGGGAACAGGAGAACTGTGGAAAAAAACAACAACAACAAAAACTTCAGAGATCAAAAAATAAAGCATCAAAAGCACAGTCAGTAACTGCAGTGACTCTTTTCATTGTTTTTAACACTTCAGCTCTTTGTATGTTAGAACCTTGCTCTCTTCCGTGGTCGGCTCAGGGACCAACAACAACACAAGCAGAGCGGCCCAGACACCAGTTGTAGCACATACTTTGTGCATTGCCTCTATGTGAGAACAGAGCTCACTGCAGGCAGACGGACAGGGACACACTCTCACTGCTCGACCATAAGACCGGCTCGAGTCTCCATACACTCACTGCTTGAGGATCCTGGAGGTGAACAAAGGTCTCGTCTTTTGAGTTCATTCTTGTTTGCATTTCCTGCGGGCAAGGCATGTATAGACTTCAGATTTCGCCTTGATACAGTAAAAAAGCTTTCACTGCACAAACACTCTCTAGCCTGAAACTTATAGAGTA